GGGATCTTATTAGTCTATGTGAAATCAAAGCCGGTGATGCATACTGGCCAATCATGGAACGGAGCTTTAATGACGCTCCACTTACTTCTGATACTGACTTTCGTTCTGGTGAAATCTTTTGTGAACAGCTTCGAGCTTGGGCACAGGATAAACTAGCAGATCAGGCTACTTGCATTAATGACATTATACAGGACAAACTTGAGACAGTTGAGAAGTATCACTCTAGGTTGACTCAGACTTTTTCAGACTTAGGGTTTAGTACTTACAACAAAGCACACACCCAGATGCTATCTGCAGCCTTTGTGGCAGGGCTTAGAGAACACATCCGTAAGGGGTTAATCTTAGCTCGGCCTGAGTATAGAATTATTCCACTGGACACTCTTTTGCTGGTTGCCAAGGGCTTAGAATCTGTTTTGCTACCTACACAACGTAGACCCAGTCCTCTGATGTATGCTACCTCCACCCCATTCGCTGGTCCAAGCCAGGGTCCTCAGATGCTTCCCCAACAGTACACCCAGCCCCCCCAGACACTGCCTGCACCAATTCCTTTCTCCCGTGACCGGTCTGTCACGACAATCCGGACCTGCTTTAATTGTAATCAGCCAGGTCACTTTAGAAGAGATTGCCCACACCCTAGAGTGTTCCGCCAGCAGACTCCCCGGTACCAAAATCCACATGTCACCAGTTACAGTTTCCCCTCCACCGGTTATCTCCCTGCCCTACCCCATCCACAGTTGCCTCAGTTACCTCCTCCACCTCCTCCCCCTCCGCCTCCTGAGTATTCCCAAGCCCGGCTCCCCGCAACAGAAGCCCGTGCATACACCTCGCCCTCCGCTGAAGGGTATGATACTGATGACTTCCAAGACAACCAACCTCATCCCCGCCATGCCCTCCGTCCATCCCGCCCACCCATGCATACTGCTAACCCTCCCTCCACCTCCCGCCGGTACCAGGGACCAGATCAAGCCCACCTAGATTTACTACAATAGGTAACTGGCAAGCCTGTGTCAGCAACCCCTGCCATGGCAGTGTCTGCGGGGGATGGAGGAGGACCTTTAGCTACTGTAGTTCTCCCCGTGGAGGGTCACCCAACCACCTTTTTAGTTGACACAGGTGCAGCCCGTAGTGTCCTTAGGGAACAAGACCTGCCAGACCCTTCCTTCCTATCTGACACTGATGTCTCCTGTGTTGGGGTGGATGGTACACCACGCAGTAACCCCCTCACCAAGCTCTTACATGTAGGCTCACATATCCTGTCCCGTTTTGTTGTTTCCTCCACCTGCCCCATTAACCTCCTAGGTGCCGATGTTCTCTCTCGGCTCCAGGCTTCCATTACTTTTACTGCAGATGGACAGGTTGAGTTGACAACCCCCTTATCACAGAAGGATACTTCTGTACTCTGCTCACTCCCAATTTTGTTGAATCTAACTGACAATACAGGGAATGCACGGGTCACACACACCCCCAGTGCCCTGGATCGTATCCCCCAAGAACTTTGGTCCACCGGCCCGGATGATATTGGACGCTTACATGTACCCCCCGTCCTGGTCCAGCTCCTGCCTGGTGCACTCCCTCCTCGTAGACCTCAGTATCCTCTGAAGCCAGCACAAGCTGAAGCCATCACCAAACAAGTTGAGACCCTGCTTGCAAAAGGTGCCCTCACCAAGTGTACATCTCCATGCAACACCCCTCTCTTCCCTGTTAAAAAGCGAACTGTTAAGGGCCAACCCGACCAATACCGTATGGTACAGGACCTCCGTGCTGTTAACGAGGTAACCATAAAGGACACTGCTATTGTTCCAAACCCTCATACCCTTTTGTCCCAAGTGCCACCAACTTCAACAATTTTTACTGTTGTGGATCTGGCTAATGCCTTTTTCAGTGTTCCCCTTGATCCCTCCTGCCGTTTTCTCTTCGCCTTCACACATGAAGGACAACAATATACTTGGACTGTTATGCCCCAGGGAGCGCAGAACTCCCCAACACAGTTTGCTCATGCCATGTCTCTGGTTCTGGATCCCTGGCAGAAATCTCATCTCGATGTTGTTTTACTACAATATGTTGATGACCTTCTACTCTGTGCTCCTAATTTGCTAATTGCAGAACGTGACTCAGAAGATCTCTTATGTTTCCTCGCTGCTGCCGGGTGCAAGGCCTCAAAATCAAAGCTACAATGGTGCCGGCCCTCTGTGGTCTTCTTGGGACACTGCCTTTCCCATGGCACCAAACATCTAACCTCACAACGGGTGCAAGCTATCCTGCAACTCCCATTACCTGCAACCCATCACTCTCTTCATGCTTTCTTGGGTCTTATCACATACTGCAGGTCTTGGATACCTGAAGCATCCAAACTCATGCAACCTCTCTATGATGCACTTCGAAGTGAGCCCTTTCACCTCACTGAAGAAACTATTGACTGTTTCCATACTCTGAAAAGAGCTATTGCCTCTGCTCCTGCCTTGGGCCTACCCAACTATCAACTCTCTTTCAATTTGTTTGTCTCTGAAAAATCAGGACATGCTTCCGGAGTCCTTACTCAGAAACATGGGTCCAGACAACGGCCCATTGGCTATTTTTCCTGTATGCTTGACCCTGTTGCAAGGGGCAGCCCCTCTTGCCTCCGTGCTGTGTTTGCCGCCAGTGCCCTCCTGGACAAGACTAATGACTTTGTACTTGGCCATCACCTTACCGTGTTGGCCCCCCATGACATTACTGCTATCCTGCAACAAGTTCAACCCAAGCACCTTTCCTCCCAACGCCACCTCCGCCTGCAAACCTCATTGCTTTTACCTGACAACATAAAACTTCAGAGATGCCTAACCCTGAACCCGGCCACTCTTCTGCCACTTCCCAAGGGGGGAGTTGTGTACCACTGGTACAGCCTGGATATCAACCCGGAAGTTCTAACAGATCTGCAACTACCTGCACTTGCACCTCCACATGATGAACAATCAATGGCCCTACTTCATTGCACTTTGTGGATTAGGGATGAACCAGGCCCTGATATGAATTACGAGGCAGAAGTATTCCAACTCAAAGAAATCCAAATTACCCTGACTGACTTGTTTTGGGACCTCACAGGTACCATGCTTATCTTGGTCCACCTCCCAGAGAGTGTGACACATCTCTATCACCATTGGGAAACATCGATCCCACACATATCTCTCACCAGAACCCCGGACGTGGAAAGACCTAGGCCCGACGGCCAAAACCTGGAGTCAAATGACCCCAGAACAACTGACTTCTACGAGAATCAACAAAAAGACTATTAATTACTGTACAACTGGGTACCCCAGGTACCATACAGAAGCCTGTGAGGATCCACTCACCACAGACTGTGACCTCGATATCCCTCATGATTGCTTTGAACAAATGAAAATGGAAACTACACATCTACCAACTGTCTATGAAGCTGCACTACTCAACCCGGACCAAACATTATTTGTGGATGGGTCAAGATTTGCTGATGAACAAGGGCAATATCACACTGGGTATGCAGTTACCACAGAATGTCAAGTGTTACAAGCAGCTGCCCTACAACCAACTAAGTCTGCTCAAGAAGCTGAATTGACAGCCCTAACTGTGGCTTGCAAATTGTCTGAAGGGTTGCGTGTCAACATTTACACGGATTCAAGATATGCCTTGGGAGTAGCACATGATTTTGGCTTAATTTGGAAGACCAGAAGATTTCTTACGGCCACTGGTACCCCAGTAAAGCATGGGGCAGCCATTGCAGAGCTGATGGACGCATTGGAACTTCCAGCTGAGGTGGCAGTACTGAAGGTAAAAGCCCATGGAAGACTAGACACAGAAGAAGCACGTGGCAATCACCTAGCTGATCAAGCAGCTAAAGAAGCAGCATGGCAAAGATGGGAAGTGGACAGAAGAGTGGCCACAGATACACTACCTATCTATACTATGCAAACATTGCCTACAGACCTCAGGCTTCTGAAGGAACAGCAAGCTGCTGCTACTCCCCAAGAGAAACAAGGTTGGAAGAACAAAGGAGCTATACTCCGTGATGATGTTTACACCATTAATCTCAAGTTCTGCCTACCCAGAAGTATGTACCCAATGGGCCCATGGGCCAGCTCACCTGTCAAAACTCCTGATGAATTCACTGATTGACAAATATTTCGAAGCACCAGGCATCACCACCTTAACACAGAATTACTGTAAGTCATGTACTATATGTGCTAAATGCAATCCTGGAAAGATTATAAAGACTGCACCTAATCACCTAGCCAAGCCGCAATATCCCTTTCAGAGGATCCAGATTGATCACATTCAGATGCCAAAGAGTGGACGTTATGAATATGCATTGGTCATAGTGGACATGTTTTCAGGATGGCCAGAGGCCTTCCCAGTGACTAATCTCACCGCGAGGACTACAGCCAAGTATCTCTTGACAGAAATTGTTTGCCGCTATGGAGTTCCAGAAGTAATTGAAAGTGACCAAGGGACCTCCTTCACTGCCTCGCTAACACGGGAAGTCTGGTCAGCACTGGGGGTGACCCTTGCATTCCACACACCATATCACCCACAGAGTAGTGGTAAGGTAGAGCGCATGAATGGCACTTTGAAAGCCAGAATGCTTAAAATGTCACAAGAAACTAACATGCCCTGGCCCGAGAGTCTTCCACTAGCGTTATTCAGTGTAAGGTACACTCCCAGAGGAAAATACAGTTTGTCACCTTATGAGATTTTGTTTGGTACAGCACCCAGGTTAGGTTGCTACTTTCCCCAACAGCTTCAGATTCAGTCAGACGCTATGGTAGACTATGTGACTGCCCTTTCACATGCCTTGACCAAGATACATGCCCAAGTGTTTTCTTCTATTCCAGATCCTGAGTCGAATACAGGTACACACAAGCTGCTTCCAGGTGATTGGGTTATGGTTAAGAAGTTCCTCAGGAAACACACCCTAGAACCGAGATTTGATGGTCCTTATCAAGTGCTCCTGATTACAGCAACGTCAGTTAAACTAGCTGGAAAAAGTTCCTGGATACACGCTTCACATTGCAAAAAAGTGCCTGCTCCAGAAGAAGCTGATCTTGTTGAAACATGAATTTATTATGTGTCTCGTGTTTTCTTATATTGTTGCATTTTGCCTGGGCCCAACAAGTGGCCATAACCAAAGATAATCATGTTTACACTTTCTGGTACAATTCTTCTGATACTGATGTAGCTACATACACCTTTGATTACTGTGACATAGTTACCTGTACATTCCCACAGACACAACATGCAGCCATATACAAGGACATACCTAACAAAAAGGACCCATACATTTGTGTGACTGGAGGAGCTTGGGGACACCACTGTAGTTCATGGAAAGCTGCCGGGTGGAATACAGGTAGACCATGGGGCTACAGACCTCAGGTTGCACTAGACAGACTTGACAAAGACGGGAAGCCCCTACTTTCTAGAATGACTCTTAGTAAACCCACAGGGTCAACTCCCATCAAACTTACCTTGAATATAGAACACCCTAGTCCAAGGGACGCGGGGGAATATGTGATGGGGATGTACTGGAAGGGAGGTGGCTCACACAATGCACTGGGGACATTCTACCTACAAGACATGCTCACCTCCCCAGACTGGGTGGGGACCACTCACATGATCGTTAACCCGTTAAAACCACATATTAAGACCCTACATGACATGGTAGCTATAGCCAACCCCACCTTTGAAGACACTATGGCAGTGGAAACTGGTTTTTCAGACACTAATTTATGGCTAGAATGGATGAGGTATAATGCCAACTCACACAATAAGACCAATTGTTACGTGTGTGGGGGAGCCAGGCCCCATCTGGGCACAGTTCCTCTGAATTTGCCTCCTGAAGTAGAATCATGTGTTCTGAGCCTTTACACACAGTCCGTCACCAATTCCTCGACATGTGAATCGTGGAAGAGAATTTACCCGATCACTCACGGACATGTAAAACCACCTGATGGAGTCACCATCTATCCAGGTAATTACACATGTTATACAATATCTAAAAACACTGGTTTGTATCTGGGCAAATTCCCATCAGGATATTGCTCAACTTACCATAATCCACCCGTATCACTGCTAATGAACCACACAAAGACAATCGGCGATATCTATTGGTTATGTGGGGATAAACAATTGAGGTCCCAATTAATTGGGCAATGGTGGGGGGAGTGTGCCCTAACTAAAGTCATAATGCCTATCCATATCATTCCAGATGGTGACCATAACACGTTAAACCTCACACATGTACACTCTAGAACCAAACGAGAGACTCCTATTCGAGGGAGTTTCGACCCCCATGTGTATATTGATGCCATAGGTGTGCCTAACGAATTCAAAGCAAGAGATGAAGTGGCTGCAGGATTTGAGTCCCTAATTCCAATGATAACTGCTAACAAAAATGTCAATTGGATTAACTATATTTACTATAATCAACAGCGTTTTGTCAACTACACTAGGGATGCCCTACAGTGCCTGGCAGAGCAATTACAAGCCACTACCCAAATGACATTTCAGAACAGAATGGCCCTAGATATGATTTTAGCTGAGAAAGGGGGTGTATGTAAAATCCTCCCTGAGACCATGACATGCTGCACATACATTCCAGACAACACTGGGCCCAATGGTAAGGTGACTATGGCCATAGAGAAGCTAGATAGTCTTGCAGACGAGCTAAAGAAAAATTCAGGAGTCATCGACACTTGGGACAGATGGTTTGGATGGATGAATGGTTGGCAAAGGACCCTCTTCCAGGTGGGGACAGCTGTTCTCATAATGATCGTCATTTTCTTATTTCTGACCTGTTGCATATTCCCCTGCATACAGAAGTATCTACAGAAAGCGGTAGACAAGACTACAGATGACGTGACCACTACTTTCATACACCAAGACATCACAGACCTCGAAGATGATACTCCACATACACCCCTTCAATCACATCAGTTCAAACAAACAACTGCTTTCCTGTAGGGACAGTATAGGGAAAGCGTCTGTCTTAACTGGCGAGTCTCACGTGTGGAGATGTAGTGGACTAGCCACTGCGGGTTACCCGCGGAGTGAAGTGTTCGATGCTAGTTAAGGCAGATAGGTTGCAGGCAACTAGGGACATATTAGGGACAGTAGCAGTTGTTATGGTAAATAGCCATTTTAGGGGGGACTGTTGTGGAAATAAGGTCTACACATATTTCCTAGTTAGTGAAAAAATGTCTATTTACTCATTTCACGATATATATATATATAGCTAAGCACACACGTTATAATTAAGATGGCTGCTAGAAGCTTCTAGCTCCTTTCCCCCCCCCCTCCCTTCCCTTTCTCCTTCCTAACATCGACTAACTACCTCGTGCACCAAGATGGCGCCGGGAAACCGTGGGAGACCCTCATGGCCCCGGTGACATCACCTACAGTAGGCAGAGCATTGAAGCAACCACTTAACACCTAACCAATTATTGATGTATTATTCCATGTTATCTCTGACAGTACCTATGATGTAATTTTGCTTTAAAAGGGACTTGCCGTCCCCTCTGAATAAACATTCCTCAAGTTATTCAACAACCTGGAACCTGTGTCTGGTGTGAATTACTTCAGGGAGCGTGCACGCATTGTTTCATTGATTTGGCCAGGGGCAGATACACAAAGAAATAATCAATACTTTAATTGATTTTTCCATTTCAGGAATATAGAGAAGTCAATAAACAAAGCCAAAGTCAAAAACCAGGTAGAAAACTATAAACAGGAACGCGCTCTCAGACAACCACAAGGGCACTGAGCAGGCTGAGAACTGGG